GTTTTAACAACTTTTACGAGAGTCTAAATAAAAGTTTTGATAGCGGACAACATTGCATTATATATTTGTACGCTGGTTTTCCGGATAGCAATATTACGAGGACATATGAAAGCGAAAATCGAAGGAAGCTCATTTTCAACGTTTGCTTATATTACCAGCGTTTAATTATTTCTGCAACACGCAGAACTTTGATAGCAAACATATTCAGCGGAAAAGCACTCGGCCAGGCTCGAACCATGAACCTTCTGGTGGCCAACCGATTGCGCGAGTCGACTGCTCTACAGAGGTTAGTGCCAACGTACTTTTCATACCTTCATTTAAAAATATACGGGGTCATCTGTCAATTAAAAACATGAAAATTTACCGATTAACCAAAATTTAAAAATTTGTCAAAGAGAGGCTCAATGAGAAATCAGTAATGATAGGCTTTACTGCGGTTAAATACTATTTCCAAAAACTAGAAGGAAAGCCGTTTAATTCTCGAGTTCAAAAAATGTCACTCTAGTTATAGAAAGAGAAAGAAAGGTTTTGATTGAAAGGTTAGAAACGTGTTGAATCTGTAATTCAAGTAATCGAAATTTGTTTTTGAGCCAAATACTTTCAAAATTCGGAATTTTTGTTCAGATTACGAAGAAAAAGATTTCCTTGAGTAACATAAATTATTCAAACAGAATTTCTAGAGGCAATTATTGCTGAGGTTACAGACGATACAGATGGGCCTTAAAATATGTTATTCTCTCGAACCACCAACCTTTCGGTTAACAGCCGAACGCGCTAGCCGATTGCGCCACGGAGGCTTACGAATACGATCATGTAGTAAATTACTTTTAAATATATTACTTGAAAGAGACTCTAGAAAAGTCAAACTTAAAATATTGTATGTGATTTAGAATATTTATTCTTGTTAAGTAGAGATAATAGTAGAAAGAATTGTAAAAGGCTTTCTGGAACCAAAACAATCCTACAATTATTTCTTCAAATCTTATATTATGTCTTCATGGAATAGAAAATGGCCTACATTTCAAGTTCCACCACGTGATAAAAGAGAGAGCTGCTTAGAGACTTATGAACAAGAAGCAAAATAAATAAGAATATACTTGTGGCATCAAAGCCTGTACAACGATTATGTCTAAAACCTGCCTTTTCCTTCGAAATGGGAACTCACAACAGCCAACGTTCGCCAGGGTCAATGGTCAAACGATACGC